GGGATTGCTATAGAAATAAGAAATAGGAAGGGGAAACGGAACATAGGTATAAAGAATAAAAATGGCAACAAACAAGTAGCTATCAGTAATAACTTTAAATGTAAATGGATTAAATGCCCCAATCAAAAGACTGAATAGATAAGAAAACATAACCAATATATCTGCTGTCTACAAAAGACCCACCTCAGAACAAAGAAGTCATACAGACTAATGGTGAAGGGATGGAAAAAGGTTTTTCAGGTGAATGAAATGAAAAAAAAAAGCTGGGTTAGCAATACTTATATTTGACAAAATAGACCTCAAAGTGAAGGCGATAACAAGAGATAAGGATGGCCACTTCAGATAACTAAAGGGAGCAACTCAACAATAAGATATAACTCTGGTAAACATATATGCACCCAATACTGGAGCACCCAAATACATAAAAAAAATTCTGGATTATATCAAGGGAGAGATTGACAGCAATACAGTCATATAGGGGATTTTAATACCCCATTATCATCACAAGATAAATCCTCTAAACAAAAAATCAACAAAGAAACAGTAATCCTAAATGACTCACTAGATCAGATGGAATTAATTGACATCTTAAAACATTCCACTAGAGAGCCAGCCACAAAATAGAATTTCTTCTATAGTGCACATGGATCATTTTCAAAGATAGACCACATACAGGGACCAGGCAAAGTCTCTTCAAATTTAAGAATATAGAAATCATATCAAGCATCTTCTCAGGTCAAAATGGCATAAAAGTAGAAATCAACTACAATAAAAACAATGAAAAAATCAAACACTTGGAGGTTAAATAGCATGCTATTAAACAAATGACTGGGTTACCAAAGAAATAAAGAAGAAATAAAAAGCATCATGGCAATAAACAACAATGAAAACGCAACAATCAAAAATCTTTGGGACACAGTGAAAGCAGTCTTGAAAGGGAAGTTCATAGCTCTACAGGCCTACCTCAAAAAACAAGAAAATGGGTATTATATTATCTAACCCTACAACTCAAAGAGTTAGAAAGAAGACAATAAGAAAAGCCCAGCATAAGCAGAAGGAAAGAAATAATAAAGATCAGAGCAGAAAAAAACAACATAGAGACCAAGTAAACAATACAAAAGAGCAACAAAACCAAGAGCTTGTTCTTTGAAAGGATAAACAAGATTGATGAACCTCTAGCCAGGCTCACAAAGAAGTAAAGAGAGAGTATCCAAATAAACAAAATCAGAAATGAAAGAGGTGAAGTAACAACCGATCCCACAGAAATACAAACAATTATGAAAAAATACTATGAACAACTCTATTCCAACAAAATGAACAACATAGACAAAATGGGCTTATTCTTAGAAAAATACAAGCTCCCAAAACTCAACCAAGAAGAATCAGAAAACCTGAATAGGCCAATAATTACTGAAGAAATTGAAGCAGTGATCAAAAATCTTCCAGCCAACAAAAGCTCTGATACATAAGGTTTTACACAGGAGTTTTTCCAAGCTCTTTCTATGAAGCCAACATTACCCTAATTTCAAAACCAAATAAAGACACCACAAAAAAAGAACTACAGGCCAATATCCTCAGTGAACATAGATGCTAAAATACTCAACAAAATTTTAGCAAATCAAATTTAGCATTATATTAGAAAGATCACACACCATGACCAAGTGGGATTTATTCTGGAGATCCAAGGATGATACAATATCCAAAAATCAATAAATGTGAAACACCACATAAAGAAATTGAGAGACAAAAGTCAAATAATCATATCAATTAATGCAGAAAAGGCATTTGACAAAATCAACACCCCTTCTTAATAAAAACTCGCAGCAAAGGGGGAATAGAGGGATGATATCTCAACATAATAAAAGCCTTAAATGACAAACCTACAGCCAACATCATACTCAATGGGCAAAAACTAAAACCATTTCCACTAATAACAGGAACAAGACAAGGATGCCCATTTTCACCACTCCTGTTCGATATAGACTGGCAGTGCTAGCCATAGTGATCAAACAAATAGAAGAAATAAAAGGCATTTCCAAATTGGAAAAGAAAAAGTAAAATTACCCTTGTTTGCAGATAACATGATACTGTACATTAAAAAAGAAAAGAAAAAAACACACACAAAGACTCCATCAAAAAACTTCAAGGCCTAATAAATGAATTTGGCAATGTATCAGGATACAAAACTAACACCAATAAATCTATGGCCTTTTCATACACCAATAATGAACTCACAGAAAGAGAAACAAAGAAAAAAAAAACAATCTATTTACCATTGCAACAAAAAAATTAATATACCTAGGAATAAACTTAACCAAGGTGGTAAAAGACCTGTACTTGGAAAACTACAGGATATTGAATGAAGAGATAGAGGACAACATAAACAAATGGAAGAACATACCACGTTCATGGATTGGTACAATCAACATCATTAAAATTTCTATACTACTCAAAGCATTTGACATATTAGACCAATGGAACAGAACAGAGAACCCAGAAATTGACCCAAATCATTATGCTCAATTAATATTTGACAAAGGAGGCAAAAGCATACAATGGAGTCAAGACTGTCTCTTCAATAAATGGTGTTGGGAAAATTGGACAGATACACGCAGAAAAATGAAACTAGACCACCAACTTATACCATACACAAAAATAAACTGAAAATGGTTGAAGGACTTAAATGTAAGATGGGAAAGCATAAAAATCTTAGAAGATTCCATAGTCAGCAAAATAGCAACATCTTTACCAATACAGCTTCTAGTGCAATGGAGACTAAGGAGAAAATAAGCAAATGGGACTACCTCAAAATAAAAAGCTTCTGCACAGCAAAAGAAACCATCAATAAAACATCAAGAAAGCCCACTGCATGGGAGAACATATTTGCCAATGCTATCTCAGATGAGCATTTAATCTCCAAAATTTATAGGGAACTTGCAAAACTTAACAAAAGCAAGGTAAACAATGCAATAAAAAACATGGGCAAAGGACCTAAATAGGCACTTTTCAAAAGAAGATATACAGAAGTCCAAAAGACGTACAAAAACATTCCCAAAGTCACTAATCATCCAAGAGATGCAAATCAAAACGACAATGGGGTACCATCTCACACCTGTCAGAATGGCTACCATCAACAAATCAACAAAGAAGAAGTGCTGGCGAGGATGCAGAGAAAAAGGAACCCTCCTGCACTGCTGATGGGAATGCAGAATGGTGCAGCCACTGTGGAAAACAGTATTGAGTTTCCTCCAAAAGTTAAAATGGAACTCCCATTTGACCCCGTAATCCCACTTCTAGTAATATATCCAAAGAAACCCAAAATACCAATCAGAAAGGGTATATGCACCCCTATGTTCATAGCAGCACAATTTACAATAGCTAAGATTTGGAAACAGCCCAAATCCCCATCAGTAGGTGAATGGATAAAAAAGCTGAGGGATATTTACACTATCCCTGTAAAAAAGAGGTATCTCTTACCCTTTGGGACAGCATGGATGGACCTGGAAAATATTATGCTATGTGAAATAAGCCAAACTTGAGAATGACAAATATCACATGATCTCACTTATTTGTGGAATCTAATGAACAAAATTAATTGACCAACAAAATAACACCTGAATCAGGAAGGGATGAAACAGACTGACATACCTTGATATGGGGTTGGGAGGACAAGAAGAAATAAATCAAAGAACTTATATTTATACTAGGAGCCTGGTACATGAAATTCATGCCCAGGGTGGGGTTCGGGGATTGTCCCTCATCCTGGCCTACATCCTCTCCAATCTGGGACCCCTCAGGGGATATCTGACTGCCAGCCTGATTGTGCACAACTGGTCCCCCCGCCGGCCTGCTCACCCCCAACTGCCCTCCTCCCACCGGCCTGATCACCCCCAACTGCCCTCCCCTCCTGGCCTGATCACCCCTAACCGCCTCTGCCTTGGCCCCGTCACCATGGCTTTGTCCAGAAGGACATGCGGAAGGTCTGTCTGAAGGTCTCCCAGTCTAATTAGCTTATTACCCTTTTATTAGTATAGACTAGAGTCCCGATGCACAGGTTGCGAGAGTGCACAGGCCAGGTCAAGGAAACCCACTGGTGCATGATTGGGGCCGGAGAGGGACCGTGGGAGGGCTCCAGGGCATGTCCAGCCAGTCCCACCCAGTCCCGATCAGCTGGACCCAGCAGCAAGCTAACCTACCATTTGGACCATCTGCCCCCTGGTGGTCAGTGTGTGTCATAGCTACTGGTCGAATGATCGAACGGTTGGATGAACACTTAGCATATTAGGCTTTTATATATATACTAGTGGCCCAGTGCACAAAAATTTGTGCACTCGGGGATGGGGGGAGGGTCCCTCAATCCAGCCTGCACCCTCTCCAATCTGGGACCCCTGGAAGGATGTCTTACTGGCGGTTTACAGGGATCGGGCCTAAACTGGCAGTCGGACATCCCTCTCACAATCTGGGACTGCTGACTCCTAACCACTCACCTGCCTGCCTGTCTGATTGCCCCTAACCATTCTGCCTGCCAGCCTGCTTGCCCCCAACTTCCCCCCGCCACCAGCCTACTCGCCCCCAAATGCCCCCCCGCCAGCCTGATCAGCCCCAACTGCTCCCTGTACCAGTGTGCTCACCCCAGTGTGCTACTCCCCTGCCGGCCTGCTTGCCCCTAACTGTCCCCTTGCTGGCCTGCTCACTCCAAATGGCTCCATCTTCTATTCCATTTATGTCCTTTCCACCCCTAAGTTAATGCCATGTCCTTAATATGTGGTTATGAGATGTCTCTGTGACTGAGCTGGGAAACCTTTCACATTTCTCTTTCCTTTCCTTTCATCTCAGGATAACTGAGCTCTGCGGTTTGTGTGGGACCAAAGGCCCTGGGAATACAATGCTGAGCCCTCTGAACTCATTTTACTCTTTATTGTATTATTTGATTCCTGGGACTGAATTAAACATGAAAACAGAAGAAAATATACCCTTAGATATAGAATTTGAGTCATTACCCAGAGATTTCTGCGGGAGTTGACACTGAGGCATGAGACACATGTGTTTATTGGTCAGTTTCCTCAACTATGGAACAAAGGTTGATCCTGCCCCTTGGATCCTTTGAAGGTTGGATATGATGCATCCAGATGGATTAACTGGAAGCTCTGAGAGGAAGATCAGAAGTCAACAGACACTTATTTCCTTCACCCAGACAGAGTTAGAAAAACACAACAAGGGCCATGCCTGTGGGAGGAGGAGCAGGGAACTAGGGCTTCCCCCTTGCTCCTTCCCTGCCCTCCCTCCTTCCATCCCTGCACTGGTCCAGCTGCTATAGCTATGGTGGAACTGCTCAACTCAGGCTCTGGCCCCGCCCATGTCACAGGGAGGAGCATGAGCATTCTTGCAGACACAGAAGCAGCTGTGGAGTAGGGCGGTGGCGGTTATTTCCCTGAGCAGGCTCTGAAGTCCTTGTTGAAGTCTCCACTCCAAAGCCTGCGAGTCCAAGTCCTGGGAAGCTGCGCAGTGGAGGCGCCACATTCCTTTCAGTAGAACAGGGCCGCACACGGGGCAGGGCTGGCGCAATCACCATCACCCCGCCTGAGCCCCAAGCCACCCAGGGCCACACGGGGATCCTGGCTGGGGGTGGGGCCTAGGCGGCACACGGGGGGCCCGGATGGTGGCTCATGCTGGCCTTCCCTGCCTGCAGTATGCAAATTAGCCGCCATCTTTGTTGGCGGTTAATTTGCATATCATGTTGATTAGCTGATGGGAGGTGTAAGGAAGGTATGGTCAATTACCATGTTTGTCTATTGTTTTGCTGATCATGCCTCCTGAGCCCCGCGCCCGGGCCACACACGGGGCAGGGCCACCGCGATTGATCTCCATCGCCCTGCACCCCACCTGAGCCCCAAGCCGTAGATGCATAGCCCATGGATACAGGCAATGGTGAAGGCCTGGATAGGTGGATATGGGCTTGGAGGAGGGGGGGAAGATGGGAGGGAATGGAAGATATCTGTAATACTATCCACAATAAAAATATATTAAAAAATAAAATATATGGTTATCAAATACCAGCTTTACTTTTATTCTTAAATCTGTCTCTTCAGTTTCATTGATTTATCAGTAAATCTGCTCCCTCTTTTATTACTTTTTAATCATTATAGCTAGCTTTACAATACTTTTTATTATGTATTAAAGTCTCCACATATATGTACATTTTCTTTTAATTGAAATCTTTCCACATGAGCTAAATAGTTGTTTTAAAACAAATAAAAATTCAGTTTGGAATTTAATTTATACATCTTTAGAAAAATTCTATCTTTACTTTAAAGATAGCATTTTTACCTATACACTCTTATATACTTAACTAGTGGCTGGGTAAATGAAATTCATGCATGGGGGAGGAGGGGTTTGTCCCTCAGTCTGGCCTGCACCATCTCCAATCTGGGACCCCTCGGGGGATGTCCAAGTACCAGCCTGCTCACCCCTAACTGTACCCCCCTGCCAGCCTGCTTGCCCCCAACTGCCCTTCCCTGCCAGCCTGATCGCCCCCAACTGCCCTCCACTACCAGCCAGATCGCCCCTAACTGACTCTGCTTAGGCCCTGCCACCATGGCTTTGTCCAGAAAGATGTCTAGAAGATCTCCTGGAAGGTCTCCCAGTCTAATTCGCATATTATCCTTTTATTAGTATAGATAGATGTATTTTCTTATGTCCCTAGAATTTTATATCTTTAAATAGGTTTTTCAATTTTGTGTTAGTTCATGCCAAACTGAATGGTTTATTTGTCCTATTGTATTTTCTAATTTATAAACATCACACCTAGTGAGAACTGTAATTCCACATTGGTTAGTAAATTGTTTGATTTTTTTTCTAGGAGATGTTCAGTTGTTTCCTGTAGGCATTCAAAGTATACAACCACATTACGTGTAAAAAATATTAATTCTGTCTTTTTTGCTAACCAGAATGTCAATATGCTCTTCTGGTTAATGCCACTGGCCTATAAAATTCACAGAGTGTGATGAGCAGATCTGGCTTTCCCAAATTTAGTGGAAATGATTTTACTGTTTCAAGATAACCATCGGAAATACATAGATGGAGATTATATGTTTATTCCAAATATTGCAACACCCAACTTAAAGTACTGAATCCATACCCTTTTAAGTAGGTGGGAAATCAACCTTACTGCATTATAGCTTTAGTGGCTACATTTCAAATGTACAATGTAAATTAAAAATTCAATTAAATCGTACATCTTAAGATAAACAAAACCAGAAAGTAAATGAAAGGAAAATCTAAGTCTTGAAATATATTTTACTTTATGGAAACATAGCACATCCAGCCAGAATGAATCACATCTCCCCCATTTGCTCGCATTGCTAACCTGAGGCAGAAGGACCAGGAAGTCTGCCTTGCGCCCATTCGCCAACCCCCAGTCCCGTTTTGCTGATCAAGTCTCCTGAGCCCCGCGCCCGGGCCGCACACGGGGCGGGGCCGCCGCAATGGATCGGATAACAAGACCCTCTGGCCCTGGGTGTAAAGAAGTGACCATAACTCTTTGACCTGCCTTCCCACCTGGTCAGACTTCATAGAGGGCTGCACAGAGGGGATGCCCCCGAGTGCAGGCGGAGCCTGTCCCAGGGCGGCCTGCACTCCCGCAGGAGCCGCCCAACGGGGACAAGGCGGCCGGGCGCGAAGCCAACTCTCCGGAGCGCGTTCCTCCCGGGCCCCACGGGCTCTCCAGTAGGCAGCCTTCGTCTCCGAACCCCCGCCCCAGACTCTTCCTCGAGGGGCCGTCCGCCCTGTGCTACTCACCGCTAACCTCTTCGCACCAACACAGTCAGGCCCGGGGGTCTCACTTTCTCCAGAGGAAGACGTGAGGAGGGGCGGGGAAAGCAAGAGGAAGAGGAGGGCGTCTCCAACAAAAACAACCTAGAGCGGGGATGGGAGGAGGCCTGGAGTTGGCGGA